AGGTGCCTTTACCAATAGTCAGCCTACCCTGGTTGTCAACTGGCCACTGTCGGTTTTACGTGGATCCACACATTGGTCGTTTTTCGATCTGCCAATGAAATGGTCCTGAAGGGTTGAGCATGCCTCGGTGGAGATCGTGTAGGAGAGGGTGGCGTTGCTCACGCGGTCCAGGGGATCAATTTCTCTGCGCTAATCAGGCCACCAACCAATCCTTCGATCTCTCTGTGGCCCATTAGTTGGTACCTGATCTTTTAAAGGGATGGAATGGTTGCCAGGGAGGATAAAACGCTGTTTTTTTTTACATCGACGCAAGCTACTGTCTAAGCCGAATCGCATTCAAGGTGCCACAACGATTTTGAATGGAAGTGCAATCCTAAAAAAATATTCAAAGATACAGTTGATCAAAGCCGAAAGCTTCACCCTCTTATTTCTTGAGGCAGCGGCGCTCAAATCGAAAATTAAGAACATGATTCCGAAACAGTTCTGAGAGCGGAAGGTGGCAGCGATAGACCGTGCAGCAACAAGCGGAGAAATTTGTCAAGGAAACTACTGAGTATTCAGAGAGAGCGAAGGAGTGAATACAAAACCAATACAATGGTAATTATTGGAAAGGAAGTGTCCAAAAAAAGCACCGATATTGCTATAGAATCGGTATTGTTGAATACGATTGAGCCGATTCCGCGCAACAAGTTTTTCACATCTGCTAGAATCTCTCCACTTTTTCTCGAATAGTCTATTGCAAATATAATAATTACTGTAATAATGGAGTCACCCTAACAATCTTATTTTATACAGAGGCGCCACACTTCCGATGAAAATCACCGAAACAGCTCAACGTGGTCTTCGAGCCGCTCTCAAAGCCTCCACTCATCAAAAAGACTTCTACTGGATAGGTATCGTCTTCTCCTACGTAATTTTTTTCATCTCCTTAGCTTTTTTTTGCTATTCTCTGCCCCACTTTGCTGCCTCATGTTAAAATTTCTATTCTTCAAGGTAAGCTATGTGTTCAGGGACTTTTACTGCTCGAATCCCCAGGCAAGATTTCGCCGACTGGGGTCCCACGACTCACTCCCGCCTCTAGTTCCCACGCTTCCATCCTAATTGGAATCTCATATGTATGGCCTTCACCGAAGAACGTCCGCACCATTTTACCCTTTATTGGGCACGTAATGTCGCCCAACCTCTCTAAATTAATGTAAATTCAAAATAAAATTTCAAAAGGAAAACATAAATATTTGTATTTGCATTGAAAATGCCTCCAGGAGCTACTTCTTCGTTGACCAACTGGCGATGGGCCGATGGAACAGTGGTGGCCAGCGAAGAAGCTGACTGGTCCGGGTCCTCCATTCAACCATCCAATCGTCCAGAGGCCATTGTCTTGGCTCGAGTGGCAGAATGGAAATGGATTCCGTCGGCACAGAACGTCTGGAACTCGTTCCTCTGTCAGAGCAGTAAGTTGTACATTAGTGGTAGCGAACTCGATTTTGTGGGCAACCCTGCCTAGTTAATGAAACGTCATTGATCTCCAGCCGTCTGTAACTCGAGTTGAGTCATTCATACTTAACTAAGCTAATCCCTGGTCTTCCTCATTTGTTAACCATTAACCAAGAGGCTCCGTACACTCACTCAAACCTCTGCTATTCAGAACCAAAATCGTGCACGTTTCCTGGAATCAGCGACGCCGGGCGGGTTTCGTTCACTTCGGCTAACTTCGCAATTGGAACGAGAGCTGTGTATTCGTGCGAACTGGGGTGAGTTTGCGCTTGTAATGGAGTTCTTTGAATGGGAAAGGCAAACGAACGGCTATTTTTAGCTATGAACTTATCGGCGATGTTGAGCGGCTGTGCGACGAGACGGCCCGATGGAGCGGGACCATTCCAAAATGTCGAAGTACGTCCAGATTTCCTGACAACTCGCCACCGATTTTTCACTGCTGAAAATTCAACTTTTTTCAGAGAAGAAATGCGAGAGCCTTGAGGTTTGGCGTGGTGGTGGAATCGTACGATTACTGAATGAAACGGCTGAGTTTGGCAATGAGGTGTGCTTGCGTAATTTTTTCAGAAAGATATTGCATTGACTTATAATAATTACTTTCAGATCCAGTACGAATGTCTCAGTGGCTGGAAATTGGTGGGCGAAGAGAGGAGGAGATGTCAACACGACGGTTCATGGAGCGGTACAGCTCCCTATTGTAAAAGGTGTTTAACTTCGCGCGATCAGATTATACGGCATTTTTATCAGCGAGGGAGTAGTTGGACATGATTGCGCTTCATGAAAATCATCCTTTTAAAGAGAGACGAAAAACACATTGAAGAGGAAACATGGCGATACAAAAGTAGAAACTGGAAGCATATCAATTTCCTCAAGACCACCAGACGGACAAATATCCAACGAATCTTTTCCTCGACCCTGGGTTTCGCTTGCTAGTGTAAAATAGCGGCAAAGTCTTTCTAAAAGTCCCCCCCCCGCTCCATATGGCGAAAGGCAAGCCTCCTGACACTCTATCCCAAACCGTCCTCCGAAATGACGGCATCTGTCCTCACGGTCGAGCTGGCGACGGAGCCTAACCTTATGCTTAGTGGTGAAAGCTCCTTATATGGATTCTTAAGATTAAAAGCAGAGGGGGCAGTTGCCAAGAGACTCCACTGGAATATCAGACTGCTTTTGACATAGCGTTTCAGATAACGTCGTAGTGGCTCCACGATGTTCGGGGACCTAGTTGGGTTTGAACCGTTCACCATGCTCCCCCTGGGAAAATCCTCTGATGTTGTCGGTATAGAGTTTCTGATAGAACGGGACGTGCTGTTTGATATGCAGTTGAGCACATTCGGTTAACCCTTCCGGACCTGATCTTTTCTCCCGTGAGGATCTTCACCTTAGCCTAGCTGCCCGTTTTTTATTTTTTTTTTTTTTTTTTAATTTTTCTTCTAGCTATTGTTTATTACTTGTGAGCATATAGTATCATTATGGCGAAATTTGGAAGCTATTCGATCACAAACAAAGAAACTAAGAAGCTTTGAAAATTGGCCCACCTTCTTAGTTTTTGAAGCTTATGTCGAAACAATTCGAAATTTCATAGTTATGCCGAAAAAGTTTATAATCTTGCACAACATTATAACCCATAATTTTGATTAAGAATGGATCTACTTCAAGTATTTTAAGAAAAGAAAAAGTGACACTTACTTGGCCGGTTGCGGGGGGACCAGCGTCGATTCATTGTTGCACTTGTACACAAATACTTGTAATACTAACAGCAACACACAATGAAATGGCAGGTTTAGCTCATAATTAGGAAGGGGAAGGTTGACTGAAGCAACCTCTAGCAGGATTAGAAAAACCATGCTGTATTTCAGCGGCACTGCAAGCATTTGAACCTTTGATGTGTGGCAATTGCCACCGCCAGGGCGAAAGGGTTAAATTGGGCAATGTAATTATTCACTTTCAAAGCTGAACGAATAGTGCTCTTCTTTTGCCCCCACCCCGTTTACTTATCACTATACTGCGTTCTTATTTTCGCACACTTTCTATGGCCTGTTTGAACGAGTTCTATGCGGAACTAATTTTTGGCCCCATCCTCTGAAACCGCCACGTTTGCAAGAAAGCTGTGCTTGCCGCTCGGCAAAAAAACCAATTTTTTAAAGGATGGCAATTAATTGCTAAAAAAAAAAACACCGTGATCTAATACGTGACTATTTGAGCATCCTTTTGGAGCAGCAGGGAGAACATAATAATTTCTTGAACGAAACCCTCGATATATGAATGTGCCTGAACGATCCCGAAAATCGAATCATCAACTTTTTCTAGTGGTGGATTGCGAAGCTCCACCCTCGATTTCGAATGGACGAGTTTCCGTGTCGACAACGACATTCAACTCACAAGCGAACTACACCTGCATAGATGGGTATCGTCTTATCGGGCACGACAAAGTCACCTGTGCTGCGAAGGGAATGTGGGAGCCTGCCGTTCCTGTTTGCTACGGTAGGATCTTCCCCGATGACGCTCATTTCGATAGTATAACTGATTCTCATAACTTTTTAGACATGGCGACGTTGCGAGAGCTGAGCGGTCCCAACTCGACGGAGAGTCATGCAGGACTCGCGGCTTTAGGCGTCGTGCTCGCGTTTATACTTGTCTTCGTCGTGTTTCCGATTTTCAAAAACAAGCCAAATCTGTTTCAATCAGTGAAAAAGTAACGCCTACAACTTACCGGGAATTTTCAAGTGCCGCCGTGCGCGGTCGCGTTGGCGTTTCACATCACATGGGAGGATTAGAGCTAGTAATCTATCCTCCTTTATTTCATTTGAAATATTAAAAAATATATTCAAATCTAGAGATCTTGAATCTGCATGGACTTTTACACTGTTCACATAATTCATAAGCCTGACTCAACGTGCAGATTCACAGGATTGCCGCAACGCGACCGCACGCGTCTGCATTAGCAGAGCTCGGCACTCGTTTTTCGTATTTCCTTGTAAATTCAGAGGCATTGTATACCATTTTCCAGCCTCCACTTCCTGGCGCCACTCCTCCTGGTCTCATCTATGTGACGCCATCGATGTTGACCAATCCACAGGACTCTGTAGTCTACTACGCATCCAGCATGCCATTCACGAAAATGGAGATCCCTCCACATTTGCTTTCACTGAAGCATCTACCGAATGGTAACATCGAGGCCACACTCCCAATTGGTATGTATTGATTTATAGATTTCTTTTTGATGACTCGGTTATGTCTCTCACCATCAGTTCTACCATTAGTTTCCCATTGGTTTTTTGAAAAGTGTCGTTCTCGCCACCCTTGAGAAAGCTAGGAAGGTGCATAACAAGTGGGATGGGAGTGTCGAATTTCTGGAATACGGTAGGAGCGAAATGTATGTAAGTGGGGACTGCTGCCCGCTACTATGACGTGACGAGACGCTATGAAGTAACTCACACATTCCAGCTTTTCACGCATGTCAAGTGACTGCCCTCACCCCCTCCCTAGATTGGCTACACTCCCCTGGCTCACGAATTCCCTCAATTCTCGTGACACCATAGTAGCGGCAAATCCCCACTTACATACATTTTGCGCCTACCGTATTCAAAAAAAATGGCGTCCCCACCCCAATTGAGGAGCACGGTAGGAATTTTGATATTCTAAGTTCCCGCTCCGTAAGTGACCGATTTAATCAATCCCGCCCATCTGAGTGACTCAACCCTCGCGACGCTCAGCTTCATTTACCGGACCCTTTGACCATTATTGACCTATTCTATTCTGTCTTACCGACATTTCTACAAATGCCCTCATCTCTGTACCTGTCTACAGACCGTCGTTCCTGGTCACTGTTACGTTGCCAGTTGCAAAATACATCGCCGTGACATACACTATTCCTACTTGAACATTAGATTAAACGATTGTTGAGTCACGCGGATTTCTATTTCTCTTTTTTCATATTATTCTATATTTTATTGTTTATTATTGTTTACAGGGCGTCCATTTATTCGACCCCAACTGCCAGTGTTCTCGTCGTCGCCCACGCCGTCTCAGCTGCTCTACTCATTCGATTACGAGCCTATCTATGACGTTCCTCCAGACGTGCAACGAAGACCAGAGACCGAGCAAGAGGAAAATATCTATGAAAAGCTGCCAGATGTTAAACCTACTCCATAACTAAACTAAGAACTTGGCCGAAGCCTCCGCTACTGCCTTTCTCGTTAGGCCAAGGAAATCTTGTCCCTTCCCTGAACCTAACCTTTGCTGCTGTTCTTCAGCACCACGCGGGATTCATCCCTGGAAGAGTAACGATGCGGCACTGACAATCCTGATCAATACCCTGTTTCTTAGCGTGATCCCCTATGCCTTCCCTAAAATTCAAAATTTCGAACATGTTTTTTTCAACTACACCCTTACATTATCGGGCTGAAACCTGCCCACTTAAATCAGATGAGCCGTAGCCACCTCGTCATACTGTAACCCGGTGTAAGCGTGCTCTCCCCTCACTAGCTGCCTTGACCGAACTTTCCTTCCCCGCTTCAACTCTATACGGGTCCTTCTTGTCCACTTGTTTTTGGTCAAGTATTGCATAATTTGATACATTTTTTCTTTTTATCTGATGTAATAATGTTATCAGAGTAAAATCTTCTTTATAGTGTTTTTGAGAGAATCAAAGAGGTATTTTCTGAGGTTCTAGTCATGTACTAGGAACGCTTTCAGTAGAGGGAAAACAAACTGGTTGTGGGTCGATTGATTACATGAGAATGTGCATAAATGTATAATATTAGTCACTCAGTTAGAGGCATCTTGCTAAGAGGCGGAACAAAATGTTGACGTGGTCGGTGGACCTCACCTGGAGGACCTCATCGAGAGCCATACCGGTCATGCCATACTATAGGATAAGTACGAGAACAAACTAAAGAAATGCATTTTTTTCAGTAAACAATTCGAAAAAGTAGCAGGGCTGTTACGCGTTCAAGTTCCCGCCGTTCATCTGTCACAAATTTTGGCGACGTTGAAAGCCCCCGTTTTGTTCTCGGGTGCATCACCAGGTTCTTTTTCGGCCTTTTCTACTTATGACAACAACACTT